GGATTTTGAAACACACACAGGTGCACCCAGTGTAAACAAAATGGGTGGAGTTCTTTTTAAAAATTACCTCTCTAGACCCACAGACAAAAGGATTGATCCAAAAATACAGAGTAGCTTGTCTATTATCTGAGTTACAGTAATAAGTATATGCAGTTTTCACTGCTGTTTTCTCTCAGCTAAGTTATTATGAAGCAAAGGATAGTTAGAAGTTTTAGAAAACAGTTACTTGTCTTTTTTCATCTTAACTAATAAAATAAATTTTTAAAAATTTTTTCTAGTTTTATGCCACATATCAAAACATGTTCTGGGAAAATTCACAAGGTTGCTATAAAATGTGTGCCATCTCTGCATTATGGGAATTTGACCTTGAAAGTCAAAATGAAACTCAATATTATTATGCATCATTTACTAGTAAGAGTTCCCCATTCCAAGTCTGTGTGCATGTGCACGCATGTGTTTGCATCTTACTCTCAGTTAAAGGCCAGCAGGAGACCATCGTAGTCAGCTTTGAGCCAACCTTTGAGACCCTCATTCCCCTTTTCTGCACGTGCTGCACTCTGCTCATAGTGTGTTTGGAAAACAAGGAATTCCCCATGCATCTATCTTGACACGTAGTTTCCCTTTACTATAATAAAGGGATTTTTCTTTTATCATGTTAATATATTAAATGGACCTTCTCAGGTAATATTTGTAGAAACATTAGAAATTATATTCTAGGGCCTGCCTGATAGCCTAGTGGCTAAGCTCACACATGACTATTTCAAATGCTGATCCCAGTGTCCTAAAAAACATGCCAGGCACCTGTGCATGTGTGCCGAGAATCCTGACAGATGCAGAAATAGAGAAGAGGAATTATGACATACCCACACCCCATGGGGGGGTGCTTCCTCCTTCTCTGTCTTTCCCCTTCTCTGTGACTCTTTTTCTGGCACTATAGAAGAACATTCTAGGAGGCAGTTTAACAAGATCTATTATGTTTTCCCTTTCATTCAACAATTCCACTCCTGGTAATCTATTAATAGTTGATAAATGTATTTAAGGAGTGACCAGATATAAATTTACAAGGAACTTTATTGTAACTTTGTTGCTATTGCTTACCTCCAAAAAGCCCTAAATTGTATTAATAGGTGATTGATCAGATTATGTCTGTGCAGTGAAATGCTGTGAAGCCATCAAAAGAAAATGAGAAAGCTCATTCATATACACTAGCATACAGAGATTTCCCAGATATTATAAAGTGATGGAAAAAATAAAAACCCTAAGCAGCAAATAGTGAAATATTATCCCATATGTATGTTTTTAAATATATATACATACATTTATATATAAGTGATTTATAGGATCACCTGTTAAATGTAAGGTACCGTAAGTATGTAAGGGTAGTCTTGTGTTACAGTTAAATAGGATGAGGTATATTAATAGACTGGTGGGGCCAGACAATGGTGCAACCGTAAAACACAATGCCCTGCAAGGCAGGCCCATGTGGGAAGCTTTCTGTTCATGTCCAGAGACCTCCCTGGGTGTTCAGGACATGTGTGTGCCCATGATCTATGCTGCCTGAAACTGTGTAGACTGCAGTCAGGGGTGCTCGTATCTCTCTCCTTCTCTATCTCTGTCTCTCTCTCATTTATGGAATAAATAAGTAAACTCTGAAAAAAGTTTAGAACTACACATTAAAAAGTAAAGATGACTGGGACCAGCAGTTAGTGTAATGGCTATGTCGCTGGACTCCCACGTAGTCGACCGCGGCTGGAGTTCCGGACCTGGTGGCTTAAACTCACGCTGGGCGCATGTGTGTGCATGCCCAAGATCCCGAGAGGAGAATGGAGAAGAAGGGATTGTGGCATGGCCATCCCCCTGGGGGGTGATTTCTCGCTTTCATATGTATGTTTTTAAATATATATACATACATTTATATATAAGTGATTTATAGGATCACCTGTTAAATGTAAGGTACCGTAAGTATGTAAGGGTAGTCTTGTGTTACAGTTAAATAGGATGAGGTATATTAATAGACTGGTGGGGCCAGACAATGGTGCAACCGTAAAACACAATGCCCTGCAAGGCAGGCCCATGTGGGAAGCTTTCTGTTCATGTCCAGAGACCTCCCTGGGTGTTCAGGACATGTGTGTGCCCATGATCTATGCTGCCTGAAACTGTGTAGACTGCAGTCAGGGGTGCTCGTATCTCTCTCCTTCTCTATCTCTGTCTCTCTCTCATTTATGGAATAAATAAGTAAACTCTGAAAAAAGTTTAGAACTACACATTAAAAAGTAAAGATGACTGGGACCAGCAGTTAGTGTAATGGCTATGTCGCTGGACTCCCACGTAGTCGACCGCGGCTGGAGTTCCGGACCTGGTGGCTTAAACTCACGCTGGGCGCATGTGTGTGCATGCCCAAGATCCCGAGAGGAGAATGGAGAAGAAGGGATTGTGGCATGGCCATCCCCCTGGGGGGTGATTTCTCGCTTTCTGGTGAGCACATGCACCATATAACAAAAACTTCTCGAAAAAAATAAATAAATAAATAAAAATGACTGTTCAATATATCAAAAAGCATAACATAAAAACAAAATATTAGTATCATGCCTTACATGGATATATTGTAAGTTTTTCAGCTTATTACTTTACTTCCTTAAGAAAGAGAGACAGGCCACCCTCAACTTCCACTGTACAGTCCACTCCAGCCTCAGCCAGCCTGGATCATAGGCTCATATGCACACCCAGCAGACACAGGGAAGCTCTGGGATGTTACCACCACTTAACCCTAATTACTAAACTTTGGTACTATTTTTACCTTTACAAAGTGACGAGAAAATAAGGGGTGATTTTACTTACTTTAAATGTTTTGTATTGTCTGAATTTGTTTCTAATAAACGTGTATTACTTTTATAATGAGAGAAAACTACTTGCTGTTGGAAAAGATCTGTAAAAACATATTCACCTAATGATACCACGAAACTACGTTTTTCTTCCAGTGTAAGATATGAAGACTTCCTAATATGCATGTGATGGTAATTTGGGTACTTTTTTATACAAGGAGGTTTTTCTGAGTCTGTAAAGTAGTTTTGGAGGTTTTATTTGCTCTCACCATTACATAACTACTTTTACTTTTAATTATGTTTATTCCTTTATGTTCTCAGGAGTATGTATAAATGTATATTTATGTAAGGAAGTGGATAGATATGCACATCATTTTAGCATTTAGGTGATTGTCTTCTTTCAAGAATGGTTTAAAATCTAAGGAAGCAATGGAAATATAACTGGAAGTAATTATCAGTTTTTTTTTTCTGGACAAAGAAAAGCTTCCTTTTTCTACCTCTCAATTTTAGCAAATAAGAATCATCTTGAAAATAGCTGGAAAGAGGTATTCTCCAATGATTATTCCCCATGAAGTACTAGAAACTTATTCCATTAGGGTGATTATTACAAGGACTCAGAAGGAAGTCAGTGATTATACTAGATTATTTGTTTTAGAGAATTTTATTCTCAGCTATTACTCATGGTTCTATAAACTATAGAATTCATTCAGGATAATTATATAGTCCATAATACCATTGTTAAATTTCATTGAAATTTATTAAAAATTAGGGAAAGGGTACCCATTTGAAAACTTCTTTTTTTCTTTCATTTATTTATTTATTTTTACATTTTTCCACAAACATTTACTTTACATATCAAAAAAATTTAGCTCACACTCCATAGTTCTTGACAGTTTATAAACAACTTTCAAAATTTCAAAATACTGTATTTTAAGATAATGTTCAAAATATTTCTTATAATTTTGTATAATTTTGTGACTCTATAACAACAGAAACAGTATGGTTTTAAATATTTTTGAGAAAATATTTACATGTCAACTACTCAGTTGTTGAAAAGCAAATGCCCAGCACGCTAGTCACACATAAACCCTCTCAATTCAGCCCTGCCATTTGAAAACTTCTGAATGCCAATTTTTTGGGGGATGACAGAAACATTACTTAAATGGTGTCTTAATTATATGGAAATTTGAGTAAATTGATTGGCTCTTTCTATAGTCAGTGTTGGAGTAATATGAAATGCATGGGCCTAATTGACAACTTGAAAATTCTTTCAGTAAAATTTGATAATGTGATGTTATCTTATTAGGGAAGATGTCCTCTTAAGTAGTAATGCTTTAAAAAATTTGAAGCTGCTTAATATATACCAAATGTCTGCACTCTATGGCATAAACTGAAATATTGCACAATATAAAGGCATGGAGAGCAACTGTAGACACAAGAGCACATATGGGAAGAGGGTAGGAAATGGTAGAGGGTGAGAGGGAGGGAATCAAGGGGAAAAATAAGTAAAACAGTTAAGAAACACAAAAGAGAAGATTATCTGTTGAAGATAATAGGTATGGTAATATTTTTGATTGGGCCAATATTCGGTGTATTCTAAATGGGAAATTTCATTTGTATGCTGTAATGATGTACAGTGAATGAATGTAAAACAGATAAATAAATAAATAATTTTGAAGCCATAGTTGGATGTAGGAGTATTATATAGAATAAGTTTACTGTGGTTGAAGAGGATATTTAATGTAGTATATAATAGCACAGAATATGGAATTAGACTGCTGAGGTTCAGATTCCGGTACTGCTACTTCCTTTCTGTATGATCTTGGATAAGTTACCCTCTCTCTACCTTGGTTTCCACATTTGTAAAACAGAAATATCAGTAGTGGGTAATAGGACTCTGTTTCATAGGGTTGTTATATATAATTGTTGTAAGACTGAAATAAGGCACTTGTATGTATAGTAAGTGTTTAAAAAATGTAGCTACTCTATCATTTTGATCATTCAGTATCTAGAAAGTACTATGCATGTTGTCAAATAAATTTGTTGTTTACATGTTTGCTTAATAAGTGCTGAATTACAGTCTAGTTTAAGTATTTTCTTAATTTCTGTTTTTCTGTTATGAAAAACTAATATTTATACTAGTTGGTTTTAATTACTCATTTCTTGTTTGTATTACAGTTACAAATTATAATACTGTGGTAGAAACAAATTCAGATTCAGACGATGAAGACAAACTCCACATTGTGGAAGAAGAAAGTGTTACAGATGCAGCTGATTGTGAAGGTGGTGTGCCAGAAGATGACCTGCCAACAGACCAGACAGTATTACCAGGGAACAGCGACAGAGAAGGGAATTCTAAGAACTGCTGGGAGGATGATGGCAAGTTTGATTTTTTTTTTGTACTCTTCTATACTTCTTCTATTATTTAAAAACAGTATTCACTGAACAGAATAAAATGGGACGAAAATATGGAAATGAATAGTAATTTGTCCATTAATCAGTATTAGGTATCCTAATTACTATAAATAGTAGATTATGAAGGAGAATTAGATTTTGATTTCTTATATGATGTATATATTGGCTTTTAGTAGATTTTTATAGCTAGAATCAAGTTTTCTATATATTATTGATAAATTTGAACCTACTTTTAATTTAATTGTGACCCAAACTGAAGAGTCTGCTTAGAAAACAACAACTATTAATTTGGTATGGTAAAATTATAATTCAATATATAAAAATGTCCAAAACAGATAAATCACAAGAGTATTTTTAGTGTTTGTAATCCTTCCCTTATACATCAGAATACTGTACATAATGTGCTTATTTTAATTGTGCTAAACTTTTACTAAAGTAAAATTTTTCGTTTACTCAAGTAAGGCATGTTTGATGGAAGGGACAATGAAAGCATGGGAACCCTCTACTTACTGCCCTTTCAATGAGTAAATACAATGTTTAACTTTCTTCCTTCTCTGTCAGGTGGAGAAATTGGACCATATTCTTTTATTCTAGTCCTAAAATTCCTCCTTTCTTCTTTTCCTAATTAAATTATTTATCATGTCTTTCCAAGACTTTAGAACCAGTAATATAAAAATAGGGTGTGGAAGTGGTAGTATTATGTATTAGAGGAGTTAGGAATCAGAAACAGGGTATCAGCAAAGAAAAAGACAAGTATGCAAGAGCTCAAATCAAAGGCCAAATAAGATTGACACACCATTAGCAAGACTAATTGAGAAGAAGAGAGAAAGGAACCAGATAAATCAAATTCACAATGAATCAGGCAACATTACAACAGACATAATAGAAATATAAAACATGATTAGAAGATACTATGAGCAACTATACGCCAACAAAGAATAAAACCTGGATGAGATGGACAAATTCCTGGACACATATAATCTACCAAGATTGACTCAGGAGGACATAGAAAGCCTGAATAGACTCATAACAAGCAATGAGATTGAATCAGTAATAAATAACCTCCCAACAAAGAAAAGTCCAGATCCCAATGGTTTGACTGCTGAATTCTACAAAACTTTTAAAGATGTAACCTCCATTCTACTCAAACTGTTTCTAGAGATGCTAGAGGAAGGAACCCTTCCAAATTCATTCTATGAAGGTTCCTTTACCCTCATTCTCAAAACAGATAAGGGGATGAGCAGTTAGCATAATGGCTATGTCACTGGACTCCCATGTAGTTGACCGTGGTTCGAGTCCTAGGCCCAATGGCTTAAACTCACACTGGGCATGTGTGCATGCATGCCCAGGATCCCGAGAGGAGAATGGAGGAGAAGGGATTGTGGCATGGCCATCGCCCCTGGGGGGTGATTTCTCACTTTCTGTCTCCCTGTCTCTCTCTGTCTTTCTGGAGAGTGCACATGCCCTATAGCAAAAAAAGAAAAATAAAAAACATAAGGACATGACAACAAAGGAAAACTACAGACCTGTATCTCTGCTGAATATAGATGCAAACATTTTCAATAAGATACTTGCAAACCATATTCAACAGCATATAGAAAAGATTATTCATCACGACCAGGTAAGCTTTATTCCAGGGATGCAAGGGTAGTTCAGCATATGTAAAACCATAAATGTAATACACAATATTAACAGAAAGAAAGATAAAAACCATGTGATCATTTCAATTGTTGCAGATGAAGCATTTCACAAGATACAACATTCCTTCATGATTTAGACTGTAAAATCAGCATAGAAGGATTGTTTCTCAGCATAATAAAAGCCATCTATGAAAAACCTATAGCTATCATTATACTGAATAGAGAAAAGCTAAAAGCTTTTCCACTAAAAACTGGTATAAGACAAGGCTGCCCACTCTCTCCACTCATTCAATATAGTACTAAATAAAATAAGAGGCATTCCAATGGGGAAAGAAGAGTTGAAATGATCTGTTTGCAGATGACATAATTGTATACATAGAAGACCAAATAGTATCCATTAAAAAACTTGTAGAAGTAATAAATGCATACAGTAAAGTGGTGGGATACAAAATTAACTTAAAAAATCTCTATCATTTCTATATACAAATAGCAAGCAAACAGAACTGAATAAAGTAATCCCATTTACCATAGCCACAAAAAGTATATGATACCTAGAAATAAAACTAACCAAGGAAGTTAAGAACCTCTATAAGGAAAATTATGAAAATGTTAAAAAGAAATCAAAAAGGACATACAAAAAAATGGAAGGACATCCCATGTTCTTGTATTGGGAGAATTAATATTATCAAAATGGCAATCCTACCCAAATTAATCTACAAATTTAATGTAATCCCTATAAAATTACAAGAGACATTCTTCACAATCTATAAAAGACAATCATAGAATTTGTCTGGAATCATAAAAGACCACATACTACCAAAGCCATCCTGTGCAAGAAGAGTGGAGCGGATGGCTTCTCTCTTCCTGACCCCAGAATATATTACAAAACTGTGATAATTAAACAGCATGATATTGGCACATAAACAGACATGAAGACCAGTGGGACAGAGTAGAGACTCAAGAAATAAACCCCAAAACATATAGCCAGCTGATCTTTGACAAAGGGTACCAGTAAATCCAGTGGGAAAAGGAAAACCTCTTCAGCAAATGGCGCTGGAAAAACTAGGTATCCACCTGAAAAAAGATAAGTCCGAACCCCTATCTGTCACCCTTAACAAAAATCAACTCAAAGTAGATCAAAGATCTAAGCCTAAGACTGCAAACTATAAAACTATTGCTGTGAAACACTGGGAAAACTCTGGGAGACATTGGGGTAAGCAAAGACTTCTTAAGCAAGACCCTCAAAGCACAGGCAATAATCTCCAAAATAAACAGGTGGAATTACATCAGATTAAGAAGTTTCTACACAGCAAAGGATACTATAATTAGTGTGAATCAACAACCCTCTAAATGGGAGTGAATTTTTGTTAACTGTGTCTCAGATAAGGGACTGATAACCAGAATACACAGGGAGCTTAAGTACTTATCCAGAAGAAAATGATTAACTCAATTAAAAGATGACATACGAATAGCCAAAAGAAAGATATGAAAAAATGCTCAATGTCCCTTATCATAAGGGAGATACAGATCAGAACTACAATGAGATACCACCTAATCCCAGTCAGAATGGTGAAGATTAAAAAATATATATCGTAACTGCTGGGAGGGATTTAGTGAAAGGAGAACTCTCCTACATTCTTGGTGGGAATGTAAATTGAACCAGCCACTGTGAAGAACAGCATGGAGATTCCTCAAAGACTTTCATAATAGAACTACCATATGATCCAGCAATTTCACTCCTGGATATCTACCCAAAGGACAGGAGAATGCTCAGTCGGAAAAGCGTTTGCACAACTATATTTATTGTGACATTATTCACAATTGCTAAGACACGGGACCAACCTCAATATCTACAAACAGATGAATGAATTGAAAAAGTGTGGCACATATAGTTCATGGAATACTATTCAGCCATATAAAACAACAAGACCCTGGCATTTGATAGAAAGTGGATGAACATAGAAAATTTATTGCTGAGTGAAGCAAGTCAGGCTATGAAACGGAGACATTGTATGCCTCCGCTTAAAATATACTGACTGTCTACACTCTATGGTAGAGACAGAAAGACTAGAGGACATAAAAGCATTGAAAATTGTTATGGACACTGGGGACAAAGTGGAAGGAGAGTGGGAGAAGAGAAGAGTCCAGGAAGGGAAATTTGGGAAAAAAAATGGAAAGTAAGACATTGTGGGACACAGATATGGTTTGTTGCCTATTGGTAATGTCATGTATAGTATTCTCAGCCACGTATCAGGTGAGTTGTGCATAAAATCTCTTTACAAACAAAAAGATTTATAACAATTGAATGTATAAGTAATAAATAGTATAATAAAAAATACATAACAAAAAAATCCAAGGTCTAAGAAGCAGCTGTCCATTTAGAGTTCCTTTTCAAGGAGGTCATCTAGACAGGGTATGAGGACCATGGGTAGAAGATCTGGGGAAATGGGTCAGGCATGCAGGTCAGAGAATCTAGACAACCAAATATTAAAACTTAGGTAAAAATCCAAATAATAGGCACAGCATAGCAGAATTCAAGCTTTCTACAGTATGTCATCTACAGTTAACAGTGACTTCAGAAATGAAGTAGTCATCTCTCCTATTTTATGGTATTGCTCAATTCTGTAGGAATGGGGTTGCAACTTTGAATAAGACTGTTTCTATATGAAAAATATGTATGGTTTAATGAGTAAGAGAGATAAATAAGCCACTAATATATTCACGTTTGATATAGGTGTAAACTTAAAATTACATGGGACCATCAAGTAGGAACACACAAATCAGAGAGGAAAAGAGAGGTCCTAGAAGAATTTCTGAGTACAACAGTTCTGATCTTCATATCTAAAGGAAAAGTAGAGGTTAATTAGACAAAGAGAGACTATAAGGTACTCCAAGAACTTAAGGCAATATACATAAAGTCACAGAGGCTTGAGCAAATAGTGTTCATAGAAAACAAGATCAGAGCAGTAAATAAGGAAAGAATATCAAGTACTTTGTGTACTAAGTCAAAGGATTTTACCTTTATCCTGGAAGCTCTGAGAAGAACATCGTTGATATGAAATTTAGAAATAAGTCTTGTGGAGAATAGCAGATGGCGTAATGCATACATCACTGGACTCCCATGTAGCTGACCATTCTTCAAGTCCCAGAACCAGTGGCTTAAAACTCACACTGGGCACATATGCGTGCATACCCAAAATCCCAAGGAGAAAATGGAGGAGAAGGGATTTCGGCAAGGCTATCCCTCCTGGAGGGTGATTTCTCCCTTTCTGTCTCTCTGTCTCTCTGGCAAGTATATATGCCCTATAGCAAAAATATCTATCT